TCCATCCACCGAGCCTTCGAGGAGAAGGAGAGACTTACTTCTTTAGCCAGTGGCATCCACACAAGCTTTAGCTTTATTTTTCATCATCCTTTGCTCCTCTCCTCCCTGCCAACTTCCTCCTATTTTCCCATCTCTACCTACTTTTTTTTCTCCTGTATTTTCTACATCCTGAGCTGTGCTGACACTTACTCATGCCAAAGCAGTCTCACGTCCTTGAAAGGGGATTGTCAGATCTTCTAGAATATGGAAAAAACACAGTCGCTTGCCAGCCACACTGGTGTGCGGCACTTGGGTAATAGGCATAATAGGGTCATGCCTGCATTTAATAAACAATTACCCATCTATAATAGATGAGTCCAGCTCCTAAGGCCCAGTGCCTGGCCTGGGTTGGAGAGAGGGAAGAGAGAGAGCGGGAAGGTGAATGAATAATGCAGCGGAGTTGCCCATCAGAGCGCCCAAAACGCAGTGCCAATTATCTTCGACTGCTAATGATGATCATCTTGATGCTCTCCCCTTTTACACCCCCTAACACTGCCATGCCTAAATCTGACATTTACCCAGCTGCTCCCACACCTCACCTCACCTCACCCAACTTGCACAACACGAGCCAGGAGGCGCGTTAACCAGCATTTATTTTATTTTGGAGGGGCATCCAAAATGTATTTATTTTTCTTCCTGTTGGTGGTCATACCTGCTCTTTGTGCATTTCAAATCAATCAGGGACTTCTCTTCAGCCGCTTCGCATTCAGTCCAAGGTCACCCAGATTACACAAGGTTAAAGTGTGCACGTGCAGAAAGACTTAGGGTGGTGGTGGTGTAGAAAGGAGGGGGGCTTGCAAGTTGGATTAGCATACAGCACTGGCAGAGCAAGGGAATTAAAGGCAGCACAGAGGTACGATGGCCAAGCAAAATGGTCCCCGCTCGCTGCTGTATTTGAATAGAAAGCCTAAGATACGTGAAAACAGAGTGAGGAAGCGAGGAGAAGCTCCGTGGCCCCGAGGATCAGAGGGGGGAGGACCTGTGGTGCTCAACTCAGACTGCTAGTGAAGTCGATAGGGCCCCAGCAGACAGCTCCACTGTGGGCTCTGGGAAAAATACATAGCCATTTTGGCTCCCTCGGGGCCCCGAGTCTGTGGTAATAATGGGATCAGAGCCATGACCCTCCCAGGACACCGTACCGCTGTTGGATATTCTATTAGTTTTCTCTGCAGTGAAAAGAACTCCGTGCTCAGCTACTTTCCTCACTCCGGATCACATTTGTTTTACTTTTATGTCGGTTTTAACAGCGACTAATCGAATTACTTCAAGTTTCCAGGAAGAGACTTTATTAACAACAGAGCAGAGTGCAGCGTTTCTTATGGCTGCCGTAAAACCCTCCTAGTATATAAACTGTGGATATCTTCTAATCATATCTAATGTTCTTTATGTATGCAAGGATATTGTAAGCTATTAACATATGCAGCAAAAAAAAAGAAAGAAAAAAGAAAGAAAGCCCCATAATTGTTCCTTTTTACCATTTAATCCCAGGCACTGGAAGATACAGCAGAGATCACATTAACATTTACATTTCTGAATCCCTCCACCTCCTTGATACAGTTCCAGCTTTCAGCCCCGGCATCTCATCTGCCTTTACATAATATCAGGGCGTATTAATGCTACATATGGCACTGTCTGTGCTGTGCCGATTTACATTTTTCCTAATGATGTGCTTTCATTTTTCCTCCTCTTATCCCCCGTGTCCTTCCCTTCACCTCCAGCCCACAGCCCACTGTGATTTAAAATGCATACAACTGTGCCGCTGTTTTTTACTGCGGAATAACAAAAAAAACACACACACAAAAAAAAGAGCGGGCCGAGACACCTTCGGTTGCCCCGGCTCCATCTGTTGCACATCTGGAAGTGGTGTGCGGCACCAATAATTGGAAGTCAATTTGTTTGAAGTTATGTATTTGGCATCTGGTGCGATTCATAAAAACTCTGGAAATCGCATTAATTTTATAGCATCTTGAGAAGGGCCTTTTTAAAAAAAATTCAATTCTCTGTCTCTCGTGTTCCTTTGTTAATGCACGTGGGGGCCTCGGCGGTCCATTGACGCGGGAGTTTGTCGAGCGTTGGTCAGGGTGTGGTCCCTAATAAAATCAGCCCTTAGAGAATCATGGGAAGTATTACTGTGGTGCAATGGAGGAACACAGTCAATGGTATGAGCATTAAAATGTGATGCTCAGACTTTGGCAAAGTTTTATATATTTTTTTTCACCTTTAACTTTGACCTTAGCTTCAGATCGCTTCTTATTTTCCTGAAGGGGGGAAAAAAAACTCATGGGGGGGGGGCGGGGTAGTTTGCCACATTTCCAGTAGATGGGTTGACTGATTGAGAAGCAGCATGGTGTTGTTTGTCACACAGCTCTGAGTCATGGCTGAAAATAGATATGACACTTGATGTTTGGTTCCTCACTGCCGGCTGTCATATTGTTATTCCCACTCAAATTTCACCTAATTTGTGCACAAGTCTTGTCACAGTCCAGATCCTGATGAGGGCTTTTACGTGGATTTCTCTCTCTCTGTCTCTCTCTCTCTCTCTTTTTTCACCTTCTCCTCCACCTATGTGTGGCAACGAAGCTCAGTGATACACACACCTGCGCGTGCATTTGTGCGGCGAGTGTGTGTTTGTGTTTACACACGAGCACATTTGATTAGGCTTGTTTGTGTGCACGAGCGAGCGCGCGGCCCCCCGTGCATATGTCTCCGAGCTTGCCATGCCTCCAAAGTGAGTCACCTCAGCGGGAGGTGATTAAGAGTTGCCAATGGCAGGCTCGACAGGTGAGCGCATTGTAGCATGCTGGCAGCTCTGGCATCTGTGCAGGTGACAGCTTCTCCTGCTCGGCGGTGGCGTCAGTGTTGGTGGGTGGCAGGAGGTCTGACAACGTTGTTTTGGTGACAGAACGACTGCGCTGTGAGGTTCACGACATCACTTGCCTTCTTTAGATTTGTCAGTTTATGCTGGGAAGTATATGGAGTACCCTGGACTTTAGCATATACTGCCAAGGCACAGTTCCATATGGGAAAGTAGTGTTTTCCAGCCATTGTTACACAGTAAAGGGTTTTTTTATTCTTCTTTTATTGGCTTTTCTTAAATAATCCACCACAAACGTTCCCTATTGGCACCACAGTCCTGCATTGAGTTTCTTTTCATTACTGCACAGTGTGATAACAACACACAGCCAGCTGCTGCCACCTGCTGTTGCAATCAGGATACAGCAGCAGCCTTTTCTTTTCTTTCCTCCTTTTTTTTTGCAGTCGTGGAAGTGAGGTAATTCACCGAAGGGGACCATGTTCCTGTGGGTGCTTGTAGTATAACAGAAGGGATGTGAAGTATTATTTTACTAGGTGCACTTTTTTTTCCTTTGCAGATTCTGTAAGAAGCTAGAATCCCATCTGTTTCTCTACGACGGAAATTAGGCAAGGACTATAGCGAGTGAGACAAAGATTGAGAGAGTTGCGCAATTAGAAATACACCCAGATTTGTTTTACATGTTCAAGTTTAACTCCTTACACATGCAGCTAATGCCTCTAACATGCAGGCAGACATGTTTTCTCCATCCAGCGCAGACACAAACCCTCCGAGTTTTTCAAACCTGGGCTTGATGAGCTGTGATATTCCTAATAAAAAGTCACTTGTTCTGATGTCACTGTTGCCTCATCCGACCACATTTCCTTTTGAAGCATGTGCACAACGGACCTTGAACTTTGCCTGTGATAGCTTTTTGATATGGAGGAAATGAATTAGTTAGGAAGTGTGTTTTGTCTATTGAGTGTGAATCTTTTGGTTTTGTTTTCTTTTTAATTAACACCTTTTTAAAATGTTCTTGCTTCATATCCTTCCAATACTTTAACTACAACAGAGAGTGCTGTTTTGTTTTGTTTAGCATAACAGAAATCTGTATTTGCCTTCTATAACTGATTTGGAAAGTTACCCGTAAACATCACTAATCACTTTGTAGTTTGAAGTGGCTCTGCTCCAAACCAATTGATTGGATCTTCTCTTTATTTGCAGCTGAAGAGGAGATGCGAGTGGGATACGTTTCGATTTCAGTACACACTAATAAGACTCTGAAACATTAATTTGAAGAGGCTTTGATGAGAAATCCATTTGGGAAGTATTGGCGTGTTTGTTGTATTATTAATGCATGACCTCATGATTAGAAAACCGCTTGTTGATGTATGATTTTTGTCAATGACACAGCTACTTTTTTTTTTTGTCAATATGAGATCAAAGAGTTTTTATTTCTGTGTCACACAGAAAGTTTCTGCGGCTAACTTTGATACAGATTGTTTATAATCGTATTCCGAAAAGGACACCATCTCCACAACCTCTTACCTCAAAGGAAACTTTCTCGGCTCTCGGCTAACAGCTCTCGGAGCAACTCTTTATCCGTCGCCATTATTCATCCTCAAGGGCTCATCAGCTCACAGTGGGCTCATCAGAATTATTACTCCTCCTCCACTTGTCTTTATTATCTAATTTCCCTCCTCTCTCTTCCTTTCGGCCTCTCGTTGCCAATCAGCCACCTTGTAAGGCTCCTCGCCTTTCACTATGAATCTTTCCAGGCTTTTTTATTCACTCCTGTTGTCATCCAGAATGTGCTTTTCTTTTCTTTTTCTTCTTTTTTATTGCCCCCAGTTTACAACTAGTCACTTTGTATCAAGTTTTTACCTGCAGGTTTGTGGGTGTTGAGTTAGAAGTAAAAGTTTTTGTAGCAAAGTGAGAAATGTGTTGCTTGGATGTGACAGATTGCTAACTGAAATTCCTGACGGTGGCTACAACAGGTGTGACACTCAGGAACAACTGTTTGAGGAAGGGTGCACCAATGAATCCAGCATGACAAGAAATAAGAAATACAAAAAAAAGGGGTTTATTACGTCGTTCCCACCCCTACAAAGAAGTTTTTAAAAAAGGTGTTAGATAATAATATATATACTTTTTATGAATAAATGGAATAAAACATATAAATACACCAACATTTCAAACAAAAACATTTCAAAGACACTGATGAGGACGTGTTAGGCATTGGGGTGAGTACATCAGTACTGGTCAAATAAGGCACATCAAATAATGCAACCATCTGCAACGTATTAACATGATCTTTTGTAAAGAATTAATGCTTTCATGAAAGGAAACACCTTTGGTATGTTTTTAGTGGTTATTTTGCATATGTTACAGTGTGTGGCCACCACAGTGTGTTTAAAAAACAGTAGTCATTAACATTATGTACTTATAATTGTCTCCCTTTTTCTTATAAGTCTTTTTCAGCTGTGTCTGGGAGGCAGAGAATAGTTGAAACTGTCTGTAGTAAAGTTAAAAAGAGCAGCCGGTCCGTGGTGTGCTCACAGGATGTTTCTGTTCCCGCTCAGCTTTGGCGAACGTCAGTGTTCTGTAGCTTCAACACTCAACTGATCGACAAGAACTACACGCTTAATGCACAGGTGGCACTTTAAAGGAGTGCTGTCAGCTGTCGTTTAAATTACTTGCAACCCTAGTAGGAGTCTTAAATGTATGCTCGGAGCCATCACTCAGTCATTTAAAGGCCACGTGGATGCCCTTTACCGACAGGGATTATAGGTGATAACGAGACTGAGGGCACCCTTATAGGTCATCACCCTCGGCAGAGCTGAAGCTGCTCCTGCGGCTGCTATCCTTGGATGCAGCTCCGGGGGAGCCGGCCGAGAGGAGCGGATCGGTGCCAAACGGCGACAGTGGGTCATCCATCAGGATCTCATCCAGCTGGTGTTCCTCCTTAAGCGTGGTGGTGAAGAAGTCTGTGAAATGGGACAGCGGGTCGGAGAAGGTGGTGCAGGCGTCAGTGCCACTAATGTGATCCTGCGGCCCGCTGACGGTGGCGGTGGATGGCACGCCAGATGCCGCAGCTATCCTCTGGAGGTAGTCGTTGTTGATGTCCTCTTGGTAGAGAGTTGGCTGCTGAGGTTGCTGGGCCTGGGGAGATGATTGCTGCTGCTGCTGCTGCTGTTGTTGTTGTTGTTGTTTGAGTAGGTGGGAGGAAAGTTCGACCGTCCCCAAGGCTGTGGCCATGTTTGGTAGCCCGTGAGCTCGTGCTTGAATCTCAAGCTCCTGGAAAGCAAAGAAAAGAAACCGTTTAAAAAATAATAGGTTTAGAAAATGTGTGCATGCATGGCAAGAGCAAGCATAGGCTCAAAGGTGCTGGGGCTGGAGGTGGGTTGCAAAGCAGTTTGCAGCTGTAGGTGAAGCTGCCAACTGGATGCACAGATGGATGTAAGCTGAGACGTCAACTTTTTTTTGGAAAAAAAAAAAAGCTATGTGTAGTATCTGAATAACTATCTAAAACTGTGTGAAATTCATCAGTTATGAGCTGACGTCTTTAACTAATATGGGAGTAGCTCTGACACAATCACAGTCACACCCTGGCTCCTCCACATTCTGAGGTTGGATTGGGAGGTTCACTGCGTAATCTTCTCACACTTTTACAGAGTACATTATCTGCGCTTATCACCCATCAGTGACACCACAAAGCCCTGCTGTTGCATTAAGCCCTTTGTTTGCTGCCCTTTTGTCGGGGTTGGTTATTGTTTCACACATACTTTTATCATCATTTCTGATTACACATACTTTTCTTTTCTTTTTTTTAGCATTCCCATCATTGATATCTACTCTGGTTAACCACAGTGAATGAGTGTGAAAGTCTGCATGTGCATAGTGCAATCCTATCAGCACACATTTATCAGTAAGCATCTCTTCTATTAGTGCTCTTCATCTATTTATGCCCCTGCTGCATTCCCTGAGGTCGCGGAGCTGAGGTCATTGTGTTTATTTATCAGGTAATTAGCACTGACCTCTATAAGAAAAGATTATGGGATGTGAGGGATCTTTTGTAAAAGAGAGTGGTGGTGAAGGTGGCGGGGACTGTGGGAGTCCCTAAGTTTGCGTTGTGGTGTTGTAAAGCATTCAGGTGGAAATTAGCGTGAAGTACCTGGAGATGATGGATGTGGGACTGGCAGTTACCAGCTGATCTTTGGCAGGACGAACTCAGTATTGTAAAAATAGAATTAAAATATGATGCTGTGTGCTGATTGGCTTGTAAAAATGTATATGAAATATAAGTTCCTTCTTTTTCTCTCTGTGTTTATCAAATGTGTCAAGCACTTTATCTGCATTTATACCACAGATACAAAGTAAACCCACTGAGACATTCACATCTTATTACCTGGATCCTCAGGAGCAGCCTCCTATTGGCTTGCTCCAGCTTCTTCTGACGGCTTTCCAGCTCCCGGGCGTGCTGCTGCTCCTTCTGCAGCCATCTTATGTACTCCACCGAGGCCTTGAGGATGGTGCCTTTGTTCCACCGCATGTCGCTGCAGAAAGGAGAAATGTAAAAGATAACCTTTTACACAGAACCCCCTTATGTAGGCAGAATATCCTTTGCAATAAAAAAAAAATGCAGGGAAAAGTTTTAACAGAGGTTTTTTTTCTCCCCCTTTTTTATGATATGAATAAGAAATGGTGATTTACACGGGGCAATTATTCATCCTTGGACATTACATGGGGACACTGAATGGGAATTTTAATAGAATAGTTAAGTAGGTATGTGGAAAGTCCATTCTTGTACCTCCTTGTACGGTAAAATTAATCCTCGAATAAAAATAGGTGAAGGGAAAATGAGCTAAGCAGGAAGGCAAGGAGAAAAATGGAGAAATGGACTTAAGGTGCTAGAGTGCAAGTCATTCTTTTGGAGATATTATTACTTTTTTAAAAGAGGACAGGGAAGCTGTAGTAAAATTGTCCTTTTCCACACGAGTGAGACGTTGGCCTGATCAGCGCTAATAATCTCTTTTATCCCGCGTTAATGGCACGACGACAACGCTAACCTTCCATTTAAATTTGAAGCAAAGTTCAACTGCGAAAGATGGCCGCGGGATTTCAATTCAGTTCCACGCTCCGTCTCGGTGTTCCAATTGTGCTTCAAACTTTGATTCAAATGGCGTGGCCCGCTTCTTTGCATTTGACCCTTTCCTCATCATTCATGCTTTGAGCTGAACTGCCGGGACCCGGCGAGGAGACGTACAGCTCGGAGAGCGTCGACTACAATGAGAGTTCAAGTGCACCCTTGAAATATGACTGAAATGTGCTCGAGCGCTCATTTGAATTCAATGAACGACGTTTCGAGTGTCTTTGTGCTGCGAATTTAATACCCAACACACAGGTTCTTGCAGTTGTTTCAGTGGCGTGAAGTGAAGCGAAGCAGGAGGTGGGGTGGCGGGGGAGAATTTTTCAGTAAATATATTTAGGATTCTGCAACTTACGGATCATTCGACTTTGGTATGAGTGTTCCAAGCTCCTTAATCCTGTAGTTAATGTTGTATCGTCGCCTTCTTTCAACTGTGCAAGCAGAAAGAAAAAAAAGGAAGCAAAAGTTGATGAGAGCAGTGTCAGATGCTGCACCAAAGGTTATCCCAGATGTTAAAATATTATGGAGCTGAACGGCATGGGTTGGAGGGGGTGACACTTACTCAAATTATGGTTGTCTTTTTTCTGCCTCTCTTTGGCCATCACCCTTGTGTCGTGTTCTGTCAAAAAAAGCAAAAAAACCATAAAAATACACGAATAAATAAATCACGCAGGAGAACGAATGGATTAGCAATGCACACAGATTTAGAAACTGAAAGACAACAAATACAAAAAGCCACAGAAGGTCCAGTCAGGAGACGCACAATCAGCCGTTTTGAGGGGAGTTCAGCGCCGGGGTCAGAATGAGGAGTGTCTGTGCAGCGAGTCTACACTACGGACATAAATTTGACCTCCTTACACACACGCTGACCCCGGTTCATCCCCCTCCAGCATGTATGAAGCTCATTGTAAAGAAAAAGAAAAATGGTAACCCCATTTTTTTTTTTACCGCAAAACATTCTATAATTAAGAAGATTTAGCGAATTGACTCATCCGTCCGAGAAGGACAAAAATTCCAGTGTATCCATATTTGTAGTCACGTTCTCCTAAATTACATAATTGGGGACCTGAGATTGGATTTCCCAATTTGTCTCTTGTTGATTTAATCAGGACAATTTGAACTCTGTGCAACAGCCCATTGTCCCCTCTGCCTACACTCAAATGAAACAGATGGCAATGTTCTTATTTGCCCATTGACACTGAAGGATTTCATTTATTTATTTATTTTTGGTCAGGCATCCTCCTGTTTCCTAATCAGCTTTCGTCTGGGTGTTTGTAATTAATATGAACAAAAAAAACTAAAAGGATCACTTTTTTGTTGTTGTTGTTGTTGTTGTTGTTGTTGTTGTTGTTGTTGTTGTTGTTGCCTTGAGATGAAAAGTCTCCACTAGTGTCTAACAAAGGGAACTTTGTTTTAGCTTCTAATTTTTTTAGGTTTCACAATGTGAGCAACTCTTTAATGGTTTAGCTGTTTGGTCAGATTTTGGTATGAGTTCATACCTGTGTATTCCCTTTTTACAGTGAGCTTTGTAGGGTTAGATGTAGGACTCAGTCCACCATTAGGGGCGTTCATACCTTGTTCACCCCCATAGACGTCCAACATGCTGCTGCTGAGAGACACCTAGGCAGGAGAGAGGGGAGATGCAGAGGAAGAAAGGGGAGTGAGTTAAGTGAATGGGAAGTGCATTTACATTTCACACATTCACACGCACATAAACAAACAGGGCTTTCACACTTTGACACAAAAGCCGCCAAACAAACAGTTGTTTTTTTTTCGCTCTGTGTTGAAAATAGCATCCCATTAGATGAAAAGGCTAGCTAGGTCAACTGCATGAACAGAGGCAAAACTGTTTTCCTACGGGTGTCTTCTTGTCTGAGAACACATGTATCCCCCCTCTGCAATAATACGGCCTTTTCATGGAGTGGAGGGACAGAGATGTCTGGATCTTTAGCATGATGGCACACGTGTGTGTCTAATTCGCATTTGTGTATTTATGTCGAAAAAAAGCATGCCAGAAGCCACCACGGATTCCAACTAATTTTATCTCCAACGTGTGTTAGATTTAACAACCACGCTGTTATATGTGGAAAAAGGAAGTCAAGAGAAAATGAGTGTTAGCTGGTCTTAAAAATATGTATGTATATGTATATATAT